GATCAACCAGACAGAAAATAAGTAAGGAGACAGAGGCACTGAACGACACATTAGCACAGATGGACCTAACAGATATCTACAGAACTCTACACCCAAAAGCATCAGAATACACATTCTTCTCAAGTGCACATGGAATGTTTTCAAGAACTAGGCCACAAAAAGAGCCGCAGTAAATTCTAAAAGATTGAAATTATATCAACCAGTTTCTCAGACAACAAAGGTATGAAACTAGAAATAAATTACGCAAAGAAAATGAAAAATCCCACAAAACAAACACATGAAGGCTTCACAACATGCTCCTAAATAACCAATCGATCAATGACCAAATAAAAACAGATCAAGCAATATATGGAGACAAATGACAACAATAATTCAACACCACAAAATCTGTGGGACACAGCAAAGGCTGTGCTAAGAAGAAAGTATACTGCAATACAGGCCTACCTCAGGAAAGAAGAACAATTCCATATGAACAGTCTAAATTCACAATTAATGAAACTAGAAAAAGAAGAACAAATAAGGCCCAAAGTCAGTAGAAGGAGGGACATAATAAAGATTAGAGCAGAAATAAATAAAATTGAGGAGAATAAAACAATAGAAACAATCAATGAAAACAAGACCTGGGTCTTTGAGAAAATTAACAAAATAGATAAACCCCTTGCCAGACTTCTCAAGAAAAAAAGAGAGTCTACGCACAAACAGAATCAGAAATGAGAAAGCAATAATCACTACAGATACCACAGAAATACAAAGTATTATGAGAGAATACTATGAAAAATTATATGCTAACAAACTGGATAACCTAGAAGAAACAGACAACTTTCTAGAAAAATACAACCTTCCAAGAATGACCCAGAAAGAAACAGAAAATATGAATATACCAATAACCAGCAATGAAATTGAATTGGTAATCAAAAAACTACCTAAGAACAAAACACCTGGACCACATGGCTTCACCGCTGAATTTTATCAAACATTTAGTGAAGACCTAATACCCATCCTCCCTAAAGTTTTCCAAAAAGTAGAAGAGGGAATACTTCCAAACTCATTCTATGAGGCCAGCTGCACTTTAATACCAAAAGTAGACAAAGATATCACAAAAAAAGAAAATTACAGACCAATATCCTGGATAAACATAGATGCAAATTACTCAACAAAATATTAGCAAACCAAATTCAAAAATATATCAAAAAGATTATCCACCATGATCAAGTAGGATTTATTCCAGGGATGCAAGAATGGTACAATATTAGAAAATCCATCAACATCAGCCACTACATCAACAAACAGAAAGACAAAAACACATGATCATCTCCATAGATGCCAAAAAAACATTACACAAAATTTAACATCCATTCATGATAAAAACTTTCAACAAAATGGGTATAGAGGGCAAGTACCTCAACATAATAAAGGTCATAAATGACAAACCCACAGCCAACATCATACAGTGAGAACCTGAAAGACTTTCCTTTAAGATCGGGAACAAGAAAGGATGCCCACTCTCTCCACTTTTATTCAACGTAGTTCTGGAGGTCCTCGCCACAGCAATCAGACAATACAAAGAAATAAAGGGCATCAAGATCGGCAAGGAAGAAGTTAAACTGTCCCTGTTTGCAGATGACATTATATTCTACATAAAAAACCCTAAAGTATGCACTCCAATACTACTAGATCTAATATCTCAATTCAGCAAAGTTGTAGGATACAACATTAATACACAGAAATCTGTTGCATTCCTACACACTAATGATGAACTAGCAGAAAGAGAAATCAAAAAAACAATTCCATTCACAATTGTATCAAAAAGAATAAAATACCTAGGAATAAATCTAACCAAGGAAGTGGAAGACCTATAATTTGAAAACTACAAGACACTCATGAGAGGAATTAAAGAAAATATCAATAAATGGAGACACATCCCGTGCTCCTGGATAGGAAGAAGAATTAATACTGTTAAAATGGCCATCCTGCCTAAGGCAATCTACAGATTCCATGCAATTCCTATCAAAATACCAACAGCATTCTTCAATGAACTAGAACAAATCGTTCTAAAATTCATATGGAACCACAAAAGACCCCGAATAGCCAAAGCAATCATGAGAAGGAAAAATAAAGCATGGGGAATTATGCTCCCCAACTTCAAGCCCTACTACAAAGCCACAGTAATCAAGACAATTTGGTACTGGCACAAGAACAGACCCATAGACCAATGGAACAGACTAGAGAGCCCTGATATAAACCCAACCATATATGGTCAATTAATGCATGATAAAAGAGCTATGGACATACAATGGGGAAATGACAGCCTCTTCAACAACTGGTATTGGCAAAACTGGACAACTACATGCAAGAGAATGAAACTCAATTATTGTTTAACCCCATACACAAAAGTAAACTCGAAATGGATCAAAGATATCTGAATGTAAGTCATGAAAACATAGAACTCTTAGACGACAACATAGGGAAAAATCTCCTCAACATAAACATGAGCAACTTCTTCCTGAATGCATCTCCTTGAGCAAGGGAAACAAAAGCAAAAATGAACACATGGGTCTACATTAAGCTTTTTAAAAGCTTCTGTACAGCAAAGGACACCATCAACAGAACAAAAAGGCATCCTACAGTATGGGAGAATATATTTCTAAATGACATATCTGACAAGGGGTTAGCATCCAAAATATATAAAGAACTTACATGTCTCAACACCCAAAAAGAAAATAACCTGATTAAAAAATGGATGGAGGATATGAAGAGACAATTCTCCAAAGAAGAAATTCAGATGGCCAACAGACACATGAAAAGATGCTCCACATCACCAATCATCAGGGAAATGCAAATTAAAACCACAATGAGATATCACGTCACACCAGTTAGGATGGCCAGCATCGAAAAGACTAACAACAACAAATGCTGGTGATGCTGTGGAGAAAGGAGAACCCTCCTACACTGCTTGTGGGAATGTAAACTAGTTCAACCATTGTGGAAAGCAATATGGAGATTCCTTAACAAACTAAAAATAGAATTACCATTTGACCCAGGAATTCCACTCCTAGGAATTTACCCTAAGAATGTAGGATTCCAGTTTCAAAAAGGCATATGCATCCCTATGTTTATTGCAGCACTATTTACAATAGCCAAGAAATGGAAGCAAACTAAGTGTCCATCAGGAGATGAATGGATAAAGAAGAGGTGATACATATACACAATGGAGTATTATTCAGACATAAAAAAGAAACAAATCTACTGTTTTCAACAACATGGATGGAGCTAGAGGGTTATTATGCTCAGTGAAATAAGCCAGGTGGAGAAAGACAAGTGCCAAATGATTTCCCTCATTTGTGGAGTATAACAATGAAGCAAAACTGAAGGAACAAAACAGCAGCAGATTCACAGACTCCAAGAAGGGACTAGTGGTTACCAAAGGGGAGGGTTGTTGGAGGGCAGGTGGGAAGGGAGAAAGAAGGGGACTGAGGGGTATTATGTTTAGTACATATGGTGTGAGGGGTCACAGGGAAGACAGTGTAGCACAGAGAAGGTAAATAGTGACTCTGTGGCATCTTACTGCACTGATGGACAGTGACTGCAATGGGGTGTGGGTGGGGACTTGGTAATACGGGCAAATGTAGTAACCACATTGTTTTTTCATGTGAAACCTTCATAAGAGTGTGTATCAATAAGACCTGACTAAAAAAAATAATGAAAGCATAACTCATAAAATAAAAAAATGGGTAGATTTGACTTAATCAAAGTTAAAAAATTATGGTTCTTTGAAATATATTTTTAAGAGAATGAAAGGAGAAGCCACATACCAGAAGGAAAAATTTTCAAAGCACATGTCTAAAGAAAGACCTCTAGAATATATAAAGAACACTCATAAGTCAATAGTGAGAAAATTTAATGGACTTAAGATTTGAACAGATATTTCACAAGAGAAGAAATACAGATGGTAAATAAGCACATAGGAAGATGGTCAACATTATTATTAATTAGGGAAGTGCAAATGAAAATCACAATGAGATGCCACTACATAGCTATTAGAATGGCTGAAATTACAGACTGACCATCACAAGTGTTGACAAGGTTGTGGAGAAACTTGAACTCACACAACTACTGATAGAAGTGTAACATTGTACAAGCATGTTAGAAAACAGTTTGGCAGTTTCTCTAAGTTAAGCATATTCCTACCATATGATCTAGCCATTCCACTTCAAGCTATTTGCCCAAAAGAAATGAAAGCACAGATATCCATACAGAGACTTGCACATGAATGCTCATGGCAGCATTACTGGCAACAGCTCAAGACTAGAAACAACCCGGTCATCTTCATCAGGGGAATAACCAAATATCTATTTGATGGAATACTACTCAACAATTAAGTGAAATGAGCTACAACATGGGGAAGCTCAAAATAATTATGCCAAGTGAAAGAATTCAGACAGAAGTAAATACTATATGATTCCATTTATATGAAACTATAAAACACAAGCTAATTGACAGTGACAGGAAGCAAACCAGTGTTTCCTGTGCAGGTGGCACAGGGAGAACTGGGAGGTTACAAAGTGTCATATGGTAGGAATATGTTTAACTTAGTAAAACTTCAGGGGTGGGGTATGTTAAGTATCTTGATTGTGCTGATGGTTTCATATGTCAAAACTTCTAGAAGTGTGTGTTTTAAATATGTGCTGTTTATTATATGTCAGTTATGCCTTGACAAGGCCTGTTTTACCTGTTTTAAAAAAATGACCCACATAGCCAATACGAGGCCTCCCCCATTGCATGTATAAGAAAATTGAGACCTGGGAACTAAGCCCTTGATTCCAATTTCCTAGCAGATAGTAAAACTTTCTTTCTGAACTATTGATGCAGCCAAGCGGGTTTGAATTACTTTTGAAAACTTCGACTGTTTTCTCTAAAAAGTACTACCCTTACACTATTCTTGAACATTGTGAGGATTCAAACTTGGCATTAATTCAAGTTGGACTTTCTCATTGTTTTAGGTCTGAATCGCTTGCTTACCAATGGCTCCTATGAAGCTGCATTTCCTCTGCATGAGGTATTGTCCTGGCTTTTCTCCTTCTCTGTCAATTTCTTGTTTGGAAATCAGCCTCTAGGGATAATCATTAATTGAATTTGTTGATATGACTTTTATACAGAATGAATTTTATTTGTTCAGTGGGTAATTAGGGAGGGCCTACTTGCACTGTAATGTCTCTCCCCAAGCATAGATTTCTTTCTTTCTTTTTATATAATTGCAAGACTACTTGAATCAAGAGTCACACAGCATTAATTCAGAGGAATGGCTGAGGGACTCCAAGTCATAAAATTAAAGAGGCATCAAAAATTTTCATGAGGCAGCAGACACAAGGGGAAAGTGTTCCTGAGATGTATAGTCCTGCAGTGAAGAAATTTATAGCTATTCTTTAACGAGTGTGAGGAAGCTATCTTGTAAAGTCTTTGGTAACCAAAGGGTGATAAATAGAAATGAATAGTAGTGTACCTACTCTTGCTCATTTAAGATGTAGGCATTTTTATATTCACCTATTTACTAGAGTCTTTGTCATACAAATGGACTTTTATCAATGTAACTGTGATGACCCTTACCTCTCTTGCCCTGTTAGAAGTTGGGTTATTTAACCCAGAGTTCTCTTTACACATGGGTTTCCAGGAACGTAAATCCCATGATTGGTGAGAGATTATTGTCATTTTAATGTTTTGAGTCCCTACTAAGTACACATCACTGTATGACATAAAGAATAAACCTGTAGCTCTCATAGCCCATGCATTCTAGAACCTCACAGACTAGCCAGGGTCAGACTACTGTTAGAGGGATTTCCAGAGCAATCTCCTACTAAAACAATGTTAACAGTTTGCCAATAAACTTTGGAGGACAGTCGCAACCATCTGCCTATGGAAAATCTTCCCAAAACATCCTTTTCACTTGGCTTACAGTTTTCTCTTTTGATTTTAAACACCACAAGGGTATAAAGGATGACATAGAATTTTTTAAAAATCTTACTTGTTAAGAAACTGGGAGCTTTGGTCAGAGGCCCTGTTTATAGGCTGCCATGAAACACCTTTGGAATGGTCCTTCTAGCGTGACAGAAGCAAACATTTTGACACAAAGGTTTTCTAGAGCTCCACAGGTGATTCTGGACTCTAAAGACAGTTTCCCCCTCCAAAATGTCATGTGGCTTGCTGTGGTTATTAGCTGACAGTACCCCAAAGAGGATTTCCATGAGAAGCACATGCTCCCACTGCCAAGTCCTTGCCTGAGGTGAGGACAGGGTCTGAGCAACGGTAGTCGGGCAGAACTGTCTGTAGGTGAGTGGGCGGCCAGCCCGGGGGTGCCTGAGGGGATACAGCTCTGAAACCCACAGAGTAACTCAAGGCCAACTCCGGGGTTTTCGTACCTCGGTGAAGTCCTGCACTCTATGGGGAGAACCTCCAAATGAGTAGTGGTAGCAGTAAAAGTAACAGACTTTTACTCTAATTTGATGATATTATATCAACCTCATAACAACATTCAGAGGCAGGAGACCAGGACAGGCAGACACTGTGGCCTTTGTTTCATGTTAAACATTTAAATAGAGGTTTAGAGAAAGGTCAGCCCACCTTGTCACACAGTGAGCTGGGGGGTGAGCTGAGTCTACAGCCTGAGTTTCTTGTCTCTCAGCCCCTTTCACTTTCCACGAAGAAAGGACTTCTCAGGTTAATGCCAATAGTTAGCATTGCCAGTAACCGAACTCAGGAAAACCCGCACCTTTCTGGCCCTTGGTCTCCTTATTTATTCCATGAGGAGGTTAAATTAGATTTGAAGTATTGTAATTTTGAGTGACTTCCAGCTTTTACGTTCTAGGTTTTTCTTACAGAGAAAGCTGTCCGACAAAGGTACAGCTATGGCTGTTTACCAACTGCCTTGTCTCAATATCAGTGAGAAAGAGAGTTGATAAGTCTTGGGCATCACCTCCAGGCAAAACACTGTATTCATTCAAATCACAGAATAAACCTAACAAGGCAGACATTAGTTCCATTATAAACCAGGAATCCAAGGCTCAGAGAGTTTAAGGTCACCTAGGCAAAAAGTAGTGGAACTGAATTTGAACTCATTTCAAACCTGCGTGATTCTGGCAAGCACATGCTTTTTACTACAGCATCTTCACAAGATAATGTCGGAAATAACTAATCAAACTGCTTTCCCTTCAATCATGTGGATCCACCTGTCTTGTATCACCCCTATTGCTACTCCTGCCATGGGAGACTAATATTACTATCAGCTTTTCCTTATGGCTTTTGTATTAGCTCACCGACAGTGGTGTTTTTCTCCCAGGGAAGTTACAGAAGTAAAAACTCCATTAGAACCCATGGAGCGGTAAACCACCGACATCTGCTCTATGAGTGCTGGGCCTCCTGGGGTGTGTGGTATAAATACCAACCTTTGGATCTTGTAAGGTGAGTTTTTAACCAGCTGCAAATACAAGGCTTGCATGGCATGATTAGGGAAGCTCAGCTGAGACAAGAGAAAATGGGCTGAGGTACACAGCTCTCGTTCAAATCCGGGTTCATCCCAAGAAGACAACTTATCAGGGGACATCAGTCATTCTTGTTAAACTGGACCTTCCTCTGATGAAGGTGGTGTGGCCTCCAAAAAGGACAGGGCCTGTGAGATCAGTCAGGCCTCCCCCAGGACCCTATAAGGAGCAGGTCATCCATGTGACTGTCATTGACAAATTATCAGTAGTATTTGTAGAGAGGCAACGCTACATGTATTAGCAACAAATGGAATCTTAGTTACTATTATGTAAGTAGGAAATCTGACGTGCTGTTATTCTAATGAATTTCAGGCTTATTTTAATTTCCATTTCAAATGAGTAACCTTTAAAGATTGTTGTAATTCTGCAGGTCAAAAAAAGGATATCAGCTTTGAACCTATGATAACTGTGCAGAGAAAGTGCCTTTTTGAATTGTCTATGTGCCCAGCTTTCTACTACAGCAGCGTTATACTCTGACGCCTCATTATTTACTTAGAGACTGGTTATTAAGATTAGGTAGCAACAATCCACACTTCATGGATTCCTTTTAGACACAGTCGTATCTCATTTCCTAGACCAGCTGGATTCCTTTCACTTTTACCGGAGCCCTTAAAAAATGAGGCCAGAGGGAAATGAAATAATAAAACCACTCACTTTCCATTTTGGTTCCCTGGATAGTCATTCTTCCTGCCAGAGTTCTTGTTACCAAGTGTTTCCTCCTGTGGCCCAAGGACATTCATGAATTGTTCCCATTCTTTGTGGTGTTAACAAATGATCCAGATGATCTGGGTGAATGGAGAATATATTTTGAGATGAGATCATTTTCCTTTGAGCAGTCTAAATACATGATAAAATGGTGGGTGGGGGGGGGGTGGAAATAAAAGCAAATTCCCTCCTTAGCCTCAGGCCCCGTATTACAAGGTTGCGCTGACTAAAAACTATCAAAAATTTATGCAGCCAGAACATCTGCCACCAATGACAAGGTTTTAAGGCTTTGAAGTTTGTCAGCATGTGCTAATTAACTGACCATCGTGTTTCTAGTACGTTCCTAAGTACTAGCGGCAAAGACAAACAGGAGGCATGGTCTCTGGCTTTGAGAAACTCAGTCTCCAGGAAAACAGGCCCTGTGTACTTGAAACAACTAGAAAATACAACACTATGCACAGCGAGGTGCAGAATGTGACCCAGGCAGTCAGTTGCACAACTCAAAAAAATGAAAGAGAGAATGTAGCAGTGTACACTTTGGAATGTTCTGGAAAGCTGAGCCCTGGAAAGGCAGTGGGATTTGTGTTGGCCACAGGGAAGTGAGAGGAAAAGCGCAAGCAAGATTTGGGTAGAATGAAGTTGTGGAGTATCTAGGGAGTCTCATCTTTTACGTAGTTCTTGGGCTATAGATTTTGCTCTTGTCTCTCTCTCTTGAATCTGGCCACACCCGACCATCCCGTCCACCATACCGCTTGGCGCCTGCCCTATGGCTCCTGGCCCCTACTTGGTCTCCTTTCCCCACTCTGGCCCCTTCCAATCCATTCTCTACCCCACAGACAGAGCAATCATTTTGCAATGTGATTCGTATCATGTCCCTTGATCGACCGAACTCTCTCATGATTTTCCATTTCTCTAAGGACAAGGATCCGGCATTGGCATGGTCTTCAAGCCCCACTGAGGCCCAGCCTCTACCTGCCTCACCTCTTACTGGTGTTCCAGCCACGGTGCCCTTATTTCACCTGGTCCCTCCTACCAAAGGGAACTTGTACTTACTGCTCTTCTGCCGGAAATGCTCTATCCTGTCCCCAGCCCCACCTGTTAGCTTGCACTCAGCAGCACAATAATCCCCTCCTCTGAGAAGTCTTCCCTAATGAGGGTGGTCAAGTGACCTTGTTTTATATGCTTGTGGAATTGTTTTCCTACTGTTTTGTAGCCCTTTCCCAATTTTGTAATTACAAACTTATTTCTTTGACGTGCATCTGCTCTACCAGCCTGACAGCTCCACAAGACCAAGGACCCAGTTTATTTTGCCCCCCATTGTATTCTTAGCACCTAGCATGGTATTTACCACATAGAAGGTCTTTTTTACTTGTTGAATGAATGAAAGAATGTATCTGTGCATTTGAATGTATGTTCAAAGAGTCTTCTGGGAATAGAAGGGTCTCAGTGGAAAATAGGATAAATAAATAATCCCACGCTTTTAGGAGCCATTGGTCATTCTGAAAGGAATGTATCTGGGAGTAGCCAGTATTTGGGAATAGATGGTTAACAATATTTGTTTAGACTGAAAATGAACAGAATAATTAGAATGTTCTTATATTGAACTAAGAAACAATATTTGTTTAGAATGAAAATGAAAAGAATAATTAGAATATTCTTATATTAAACTAAGAAGCAACTTCTCAGTAATGAAATGTACCAGTTGAGAAACATAGAAAGCACAATTTGGGTTGTATTCTAACGCAAGTCAATCCCATCGTTAATGATATTTAAGAAATAAAGAAAAATCTAGGAATTCCCTGGACACTTTCAAACTTTGCAGGGCCCTAGACAGGCTAGTTAGTCTCAGAAAAATATTTATAGAAGTAGATGTTGAAGCCTGTGAAAAGTATTATGTAAGAGGGAAAGTTGTTCTCAGCATCAATTCATCTCAGTAATTAGAATTCTTTTCTTTGTAATATCTTGTTATTCTAGTTGTAAAGCTACTAAATATTGAAATACTGAATGTGTGAAGTTTTTCACAACTTTGTTTCCTATTTGTAAAAGTATATATAATTATAATAGATAGATTACAAACAAGTACACACTCAGACATGGTGGAGTTGAGATGATGTATTGAAACCAGCTTTTCAATTTCCCCTCTTTCTGTATTAACAACAGTGCCATATCTTCCTGAACGGGCATGGTTTATTTTGTGTTCTCCGAAGAAGCTGTGTATAATCATGTCCTTCTCTGGAAGAGTTTGTTGTGTTTCTGATATACAGTAGTAGATGAAGAAATTTAAGCCAGGAACCTAGATTTGGTCAAATGTTCCATTCTCTCGGCTGACCTTACCTGCACATCCATCAGCAAGGCTACCACATAGTAAAATGACTGAGCAAAGTGTTACAATGTTTACCTCTAAACTTTCTAATTTGAAGACTGTTGTGTCTTAAACAGGAGGTACTTTGGAGAGAAGATTGGGTTGTACTTTGCCTGGCTGGGCTGGTACACGGGCATGCTCTTCCCAGCTGCCTTCATTGGACTGTTTGTCTTCTTGTACGGAGTCATTACTCTGGATCACTGCCGAGTCAGGTACGGGGAGCTCTGGGTGAGCTGCCTTTGCTTGTCTTGAGAAATGGGTGGTTGTACTTTGGGGATGTTCACAGACTGTGGGCCTGCTTACTTAGCCTTTCCTTTGAACTTCCTTTCCAATCATTCCTGGGGAAATTCAAGAGGCTCAGAGCACTAGCTCTCTCCACCCATTGCCCTCACTACTGTCATCTCTGGCTACCAAGGAAGCAGAGGTCACCCTTATGGATAGAAGCCACTGTACATCCACAGAACAAATCACTTTGGTGCAGTGGCTGAAAGTTGCTCTCTTTTTGATTTTTTCACCTGTTTTTCTTTCTGCTAATACTGCAAAATAGTCATTTAACAATCCCTTTTTATGAATTATGTGCTTTTACAAGGACCCCTTAAATCTCAGTCAGAAAGACATGTCACCCACTTGCTGGGGCCTTGAACATGATCCATTGTTGACGATTGTTATCTTGGCTGTCCTGCCAGAAGGTAGGTTCAGGCATTCATAGAGATCTTATTGCAAGGCTGGACAGTGATCTTAGATAATAAATGTGGTTGATTGATTCTTTCACCTACAAAAGTATTTCATTTTCTGGTGAAGTTGTTAATGAGATGTAGCTTTTTCCTAGAACTAATCCCTAGCATTTTTTATTTATTTCTCCAATATTAGTTTTAACATATCATTCAAATAGAGATGAGGCTGGGACTTTTAGGTATCTTGTTTTTCCCATGAAGCAGTATGAAATTGCTTCATATTTGTACAACGTTGTGAAAGACCTTTGCATAATTTGGGGTATAACAACTGATGTTTTCCTTCATACGTTTTCCTGAGTTTAACTTATTTATATGGTGAGCCAAGCAACAGCCTCATAAATAAGTAGGTTTATCAAATTACTTGAAATGTGCAGGTACTTGTTTACAATAATGAAAGATAAGGCTAAGACTGTTCTGAGGATGAAAATTTAATCTATTGGATCTTGTTCACTGGTTGAATATTCTAATGAAATTGGAGCAAAAATAAAATGCTCTTATGCTATCAAAAAGCAGTCCTTTTCTGTTCTCTTTTCCAGTAAAGAAGTCTGCCAAGCTACAGATATCATCATGTGTCCTGTGTGTGATAAATACTGTCCATTCATGAGGTTGTCAGACAGCTGTGTTTACGCCAAGGTAATTTCAAATGTCAGCATTTTAGGTAGACTGAGTTTCACATACCCTTTCCTGAAAAACATAGGGTAACTATATTCTCTCTGTCATTTCTGGGTCTTTGATTCTCAATTTTATGTGGTAGGAGAGACTTACTTTAATCATTCAGTATTCTGATTTAAATATATATTTACCATATATTTATTTTAAATGTGACAGCTCTAATTATCATCACAAGAAGCTGCAATATGCATTACACAAAGAGCACAGTTATTTAAGTCAAACTGAAGTTCAAATCTTGACTGCTCTTTACCACCTGTCAGTCCAGGAACAAGTTATTTAACCTCTCTGAGCCTCAGTTTTTATATTTGTAAAGTGGAGAACAAGATGCTTGTTTCACACAATTTTCAGAAGAAATGAGATTAAGATGTACACTGAGCCTTGGCAAATGGTAAGGTCTTAGGAAATGAGAGATGCCAGCATTTTCCTCCTCTTCGTCATCAGATTCAGGGCGTGTTCAGCTACTTACCTCCTTGACCTTGCACATATTCATCAAATTCCTATAGTTTTTTTTACTTGGAGGCAGTGTCACTAATACAAAGCAATGGGCTGATGGAGACTTTTCAAGACCCACTGCCTATCCCCGTGCCCAGAATCTGGATATAAAAGGGGTTGGCAGATCGTATTGAACCTCTGCAATCACAGCTTGGATCTGTCTAATTACACCGTTGGCCCTTCAGAGTTATGTTCAATTTAAATGAGAAAACATTTGATAGGCACCCAGCAGCCCGCCCATCCATCAGGTCTTTAGCGCTGCAGGTGGCCAGTCTGTGTGGGCAGAGCCCAAACCTCAGCAGCCAGCTGTGATTTTAGAAAGATTTGGGCTCTTAGTATGTGCCGCAAGGGACCAAAAAAGCACAAAATACTATTCCTGCCTTTGGAGAACATACAGATAGACCTGACTGGATGAGGATGAATTTAACAGAGTGAGTTTGGGAAATATAGATTTGGGCTCGACCAAAAGAGTTTGGTCAGTAATATAATTTCATTTAAAGATCTTAAATTGAGTCTAACTGACACAGGTGTCGAAATCCTGCTTTTTGGGAATCCTAGAAGCCCAGTTTTGTTGTCGGTGTTTTGGGACATTTGTTCCTTTGTTTTTAATGTGGACAGATAATGCTGTGAGTGAAGCTCTCTCTTTAGGAAATCCATGGTAATTCCTTAAAACGATCATCATGACTAGAATGCTCATATTTTATAGGGGCATCTTTGGGGAGTCATATCCTACTGAACGTAAGATCTGGAGCAATGATCATTACAAGAATAATTAGGCTATAGCTATAAAAATAGCTAGGTAACCTACATTTATCATTTCTAATTCTCACAGCAACTTCAAGGTAGATATTATTATTCCCATTTTACTCAAGAGACTCAGATAAAAACTGTACACCCAAGGTCACATAGAGCAGTAAGTAGCGGGTCCTTAGTGGATCTGACTGTGGGATGTGCCTGTCATATTGGGCTACAAGCTGTTTCACTTGTGGATGTTAGATTTGGTCATGCTAGAAACATAGTAAAATGAAGGCTAAGTAGCCTCAGAAGGAAAGAATTGAAGTGATACAGAATTTCCTTTAGAAGTGTTTATTCGAAATACCAAACTGATTTTCATGGGACCAAAGATACACAGACATATTAGATCAAATTGGAGCCTGGATGCTACCCAATCAGTGGCTTTTCCACCGATCAAGAATGCTTCATCTGCAACCCTGGCATCTGCATGGGTGAGAAACCCAGCTCATACCGGCTTAAGCAGAATGGGACTTACTGGCTGATTTTTCTGGAAGAGGTACTGGAATAGCTCACACTATCTGAGAACTCAGGCTCAAAACCTAGAATTGGTCTTGCAGGCCCCCAGATGTCACTCTCTGGCCACCTGTCTAATGACCATTCTGCAGGCCAGTTCTCGTCACACGATGACAACGTGGCTGCTGACTGCTGTGACTCCAGGCTTACGTCTTCCTCCTTCACCTCCTTAGCACATTGTTGTGCTTCTTTTAAAGTCTTGGTCTGCAATTATGAAATGTCTGCTTCAGAACATGCATGTTGCCTAGTTTGGAACTTTTTGGAGGCAGCTGTCTTCCCCAGATATTTCATTATTTTGGCCTACGGGTGCTTGTCCCCTGGAGGTGTCAACCACTTTGGGTAAGGTTCAGAGGCCAGGCCCTCAGCTGTCAGTCCTTGTGAGTTTATTGAGAGGAAAGGATGGTGCATCCCAGCACCACTGTGTGCCACTTTTCCTGAAGACTCTTTGGGTCAGAGTTTCATCTTTAAGGCTGCTTATAACAAAGCAGAACTGGGAGGAGACACTGTCCCTTGAGTGTAATCTACCAGCCCTGGAGTTTGAGAGGAAATGAGTTGAGGAGAGAATGCCCAAAGGCAGCTGGCCAGACAGCTCCTCGGCCCGGCCCGCCAGAGCTCTGAGCATCCCTGCTAGTAGCCAAGGACCAGCACCTGTAGTGTGGCGGTGGCAGCTGATTCCTGGGGGAGGGGATACTGGCTGCCCGGTAGGCAGGAGTACAGTAAGTGTCTCTCTAAGCTGTGTTTTCACTGTGTTTGGGATCTGCCGTTTAACTCCCTGCATATTCCACCAGAACCTGCCAACCGACTGACCTCCCTCTCCCTCTCCCTCTCTCTTTCTCAGTCTCTCTGTCTCTCTCTCATGTACACAAACTCACGCGCACCAGTTCAAAGCAACCTTCCATCTCCCCTGGGGCTTCTCAAGGTCTTTGTGTTTTGTTCGATCCCAAAATCTACTGTCTTGCTTCTCCAGGGTGGATTTTGGCAGAGCTTACCTCCTCGGTGGGAACCAGAAGTCCCTTTAACTCCTTCCTTCTGATTCACATATTCCCAAGCAACCGCAGCAGAAAAATGTTTCTCTCCAAATGTTTGTGTATGAGTCCCAGGGAGAGACTCTGGTCGGTCCTGGGAGCCCTGTGTCCCCTAGTGACAAGCACCAGAGAGATCTGGTACTGGGGAAGGGATCAGGGAGATGGGGTGATCTGGGCAGCCAGAGCAGTGACAACCACGATCTCTTCCAGAACCTACACTGACGGTGCTGGCTTCAACCTCCACCGACTCCCAGTAAATATCCTTCTAGCACAGACCAACCACCCGCCTCTGGGACACTCAGGCTGGATTTAATGCTCAGGGCCCAGTATACAACTCAGCATTCCCTCTGGCACCTGTAATAAATCGGCTTTAGACTTCTGTCTGCCAGTTGGTATTTGAATCCCACCCAAAGAAAGAGAAGGCATAAACTTTGGGGAAATTTTGAAATACTTTACATTCTGATATCACAGTTAAAGACCTGTTTTTACGTGGCACATTCTCCAAGGGACTGTAAAGTATACTTTACAGAGAGTTATAAAGTGCCAAAAAATAAAAAGGCTATGCTTTATGAATGTATCAGTAATCATCTGAATTTGGTATGACGCTCGTTGATTTATCCCAGAGGCAGATAAGCTTGCCAGTTTCATAGCAAGAAAAGATATTTTTGCTTCCTACTGTGGCATTTGTAATAGAATATATTATTCTAGCAATAAAGTATTTGCTACCTGTCTTTGTGTTACATGTAATAGGTGAATATAGTGATTATCTGAGGCTTTAATAGAGGTGGAAGTGGATTTTGTTAACAGTTTTCTTTTTCTTCTTTATAATGCTGAAATCAGAAGGCAGCCCAGAAAACATTTGCTTAAAACTAACCAAACAAAATAATCATGTTTTCAAAGTGAATAAATGAGGCATGGGAAATCAGAAACCTTTAAATCTGTAACAGTAATATCTTCCTGGTCTTAAACATAAATATATCAATATACATATTTGCACATAGTTTTTATAGTGCACAAAAGGAAATTAGTAGCACTACTGGGGCTTCTGATAGACATTCAACTGAATGATACCACATAAAGGGAAAAAGTCTCTCTCTTCCATATCCAAACTACTTCACAGTTACAGGAACCTCCCTCTTGATTATGATACAAAAGAAATATTTCCCAAAGAACTGCAAAATTCATTGTATCATCACAGCCATTTTTTTATAGAACTTGAAAAAAAATGTGAATTGGAATATATTATATAAGCATTTAGCGTAACTATGATTCATACTGTTCCCAGGTAACCCACCTCTTTGACAACGGAGCCACTGTCTTCTTTGCTGTTTTCATGGCAGTCTGGGGTAAGTGTTCTACACCCATATAACCTGGGACCCTGTCATATGCTCTATGATATGTTCCTTCAGAAATCTGAGCTTGTCAGATGGGAAAGGAAGACGCTTGAGTAGATTCAGTTGGCTGTTTTATTAAACACAAGCTGATAAATAATTCATGTGGTTTATTTAAAAAGTGATATTGCAGAGTATAAATATTCTCTTCTCTTAAAGCTTCAGCAATTTCATCAGCCTTCCATTATTAGAGTAAAATTTACCTTCTGTTGGAGACAAAAGTAAAACTTATGTTATGTCAAAAGGTCTGGTAAGACCTGAATACTCATCTCAGTATGTATAGGATTTTCTGTTGTGAATGGAACCATTTTTCCAGCTGTAAGTACCCCCTCTGGCTTTCTTCCTGTTCTGATCAAAATGACACTATAAACAAGAGCTGCTCACAAGGCTGACTGGACGCCTTCTGTATCAGCTCCAGCCAGCAGCTCCATAAAAACAAGGTGTGGTGGAACACTCGCTTAAAGAATTACTTAACTCAAAGCAGTTACTTAACCCACTTGTTTGTTAAGTGGGTTTAATAGTGTCTTCCTAGTAAAATAATTATAAAGCTTTAGTAGCATAGAAAAGAGTCTGGACAAATTTATAATAAACAATTCATGGTGGTTACCTTTGGAGGAGAGAAACCGTGGAAAGGTAAGTGAATAGTAATGAGACAAACTTTTTACACTATGTAGTTTCAGTTTGCTTTGAATTTTCTACAGTGATTATGCATTTCTTCTAGAACTTAAAATGCCAGGGTCGGAATTCTTCTGTTCTAAAACTCTACTAACTCAAGGCTTAGGTTCATGTTGTTCCTTATGTTTGGAATGCATATCAGACTCTTCCCCATCTTTCAGGGTCCAGCTGAATTGTCATCTTCTCCAGCCAGGAAATGTTTCCCTCCTTTGAATTTCATAACAATTGGTTTATGTCATTCTGTGGGCATTTATAATGATGTGCATACACAACTGATCTCCCCTAATAGGGTCACGATCTTTGAGGACCATTACGGTCACTGGAGACTTCATGCATTTCTTTTGAAGACAGAGAGATGCATATTTGTTGGCTGGATAAATAGGTTAAAGAAGGGAAAGAGAAGGAAATTATCAAAAGGATTTATTTTCGTATGAGATAATGAATGTGTTTTCATGGTCTCTTTAACAAGTGGGAATATAAAACCTTATTCTCTTGAGAAGCCTTGTTCTAGATACACTGTGTCTTCCCTACCTAGAGATCTACAAAGGAAAATCACCCTGCCTGCCACCGCTCTGTTGAAGAGCGATATATTGACCCTGTTTATTACAGCCCCTCTCAGCCAGTGGGCATTTGACCCCAAATCACTCAAACCGTAGGTTGGTACGTCCCCTGGGAGGAAACCTGAGGTCTTGCCCAAAGAGCCACTGGCAGGACCACCCAGTCTTGTTCTCAAGAATGTGGATTGGGAAATAAGAAGAAAAACAGGGAGGTAGCAACCAGAATTGACACATAAAGATGCGGAGGACAGGCGAGAGGGTGGGAGAAAGGGATTGAGACTGACCGTCAGGTAGAAGAAGGGATCAGGAGGAATTATGAGCAAGCTGAAGCTAGGAGAAATCAGAGCCCAGAAATAAGCAAAAAAAAAAAAAATGAATGGAAAAGATATAGAATAGACAGTCTGGAAGCCAACTGGGAGAAAATGCAAGATAATCCCCCAAAGAGAAGCACAGGGAAAGTGTAGGCATGTCATGTTATTAGTGGAGTTTGTGTGAAGACTCAGGGTCTCCTGCAGCTGAAGTCCCTCAAGCTCCTGGCTTCCACGGCCTGTCTGAATAAGCCAGTCTTTTAATTTTCATGGGATTCCTGCCTCCTTTGGCAGAACTTGCAAAAAGCCCCCACTATTTGTGTTGCCTATTAGTCCATCTCTGTCCTTTGCAAACAAAGGAAGCTAATCATAACAGGGTTTTAGTTATGGGACTGGGCTCTTTGATCAAGAATGTGTATCTGGCTTTTCTAGAACATACTAGTATTGATAACCATGATCAGAAAGTATATTAAGTCATCTAGTGCTTAAGTTTTGCTATGGTTACAAATGAAACAACTTGAGAAATTATAATTATTTATTAAACCATTGTCTCCCGAACTTTTTCAAGTCATGGCACACTTGTATAATTATAATATTTGCACAACATACTGATGTACCTGAAGGAAGCTGCTCATGGCCAGGGTAATACTGCTCTAAGCACCACGGTCCTAGCCACACCACGGCTTAATGGACTACATCTTGCTGACCTACAGTTCTTTCCTTGGGAAGCTCTGCTGTGTGCTACTGGTCTGCCATGTAATGAGTCAATGCTTCTATTTAGGAGTAGAATTCTGGAAGAATTAATACACAAAGCTCATTACCCATTTCAGTATTTCACCAATTTTAGATACACTTGCACTGAATTTATGTTTTCTTCTCCCACAGTTTATCCTCTGAGACTGCATAGAAGTAAAGTTCTGGTATAATGAGGTTTGTCTATAAGGCAAAGGTGGGCATCTCCCCTACTAGCCCTCAGTACCACTATCGTAAAGGGGATTGCATCCCTTCTTGGTAAATTGGAATGACATATGCTGGGGATAGCAGGTTTTATTTTATCCCTGCCGACCTCAGCTGATTGACAGTGGCTGCCTAGAACATGAAGCTGGGAAGCTTCTGAGTTGCAAGGTGATGGATTAGAGATCCGATAGTCCTCGGTCCTAAGAGGGTACTCAGTAGAGTCTGACAAATGTTTTGTAATAACCTCTGGCACACGGGAACACTTTAGGGCTACCCCAGGCAAAACAAGCCTGAGATAATTCATCCTCTGAATTGCTTTGCTTTAGCCGACAACTTATTGCTTAAATCTTGTATTGTTCCCTGAAATGTGCTAGTTTGAGAAAAAAGAATGATTTATCCTAGGTGTTTCTTTGTAGACAGAGCTATGCCTTTTGCAGAGATCCAGAACGGCCAACAGTAACAGTTATGATGATAGCACACCCTTACTGAGAGCTTACTATGTGCTAGACACTGTCCTAAACATTGTAGAGCATCATCTCAGTTAATCTTTATAACAACCTGTGAGGAAGGAACTATTATGCTTATGTGACAGATGAAGGACTGAGGCAGTAGCTAGAAAGTGGCAGAGCCGAGGGTTAAAGTGGGCCGTGTTAGCTCCTCTCTACTGCCAGGATCACAAACTCTTTGTAAGCCCGTTTGCTTCTGCTTCAGGACTGAACTTTAAGGTAAAGGAGCGTTACACTCGTCCTGAGCCCCATGATACTGTTTTGTGATGGTGATGTTTTAGAAAATGGAGCTCACTTTAGTAGTCTCAGGATCATCTTTGTGATTGACAAGTGACAACATTTAAGAAAACAAATGCACTTTATTTTCAGGAAATTGCCAGATACACAATGCTGAGAACAGATGTAAGTGGCTTACCAGACCTCCGAAGGGCCCGGATTGATGTGTGTTTGCTGCCTTTTGCTTTCTGTGCTCATCAGAGAAACAAGCCAGCTCCGTTTGGAATCGGTCTGCAGCGGTGGGGGAGGCCCTTTGTGTGGGTTAGAAAGCTTGGCAGGACTCCCCTTGGTTCACGTGCACATGTGTGTGGCAGCGGGGCCCCCCGGGGACCCTGCAGGCAAACTGTGAGCCTGGGGCTCTGGGCCTGAACCGCAGTGTAGCTCTTTCCTCAGTGTTCAGTTTTGTTCAGAAAGATTCAAGAGACAGAACAGTTATGGCTTAAATTTAGCTTCTTTACCTTAGGGGAAAAAAAATGAGTTATCAGGGAGCTAGATGTTGGCAGAGACTTGTCAGGAAATAGATGATCTCCCTCTGTTCTTCATTTGTTTTTTTTTTTCTCCTTCTTCCTCGTTTTGTTGTTTTTTCTTTTCACTTTTAGGTTGCTAAAAATTAAATTATCTCTAGTAAACAAACAAATTAAGGTCCTCAATACACTCCAATCAAAATAGCAAGATCATGGTTATTTTAATGAAAACTCAAAGATTCTGTATATCGTCCCATCAGCAATCTGTGAATGAAGTTTGTCTCACTTTTTAAAAAATAAATGTTACAATAATTGGCTTTTATTTCTAGATATTTATACAAGGCAGAAGTTTATCTGCTATGATCTTATCTATATGTCCAACAAAAAATGTTGATGGCATATTCAAACAAAGGAACATGTACATCTACTAAATTCCTCCTAGGTGTACAGGCACAGTTCACTTATGATGCCTCATCAATTTGTCATAACCTACCAGAAAGATGTTACTATCCTCATCTTACAGATGAGCATATTGAGGCTCAGAGAGGTTATGCAACTTGCCCAAGGTTGTCCAGCAGCTGCTAAGAGGTAGAGTCGGGATTGTAAACCAGATCTGGTCTGCCTAACTGCAGAAACATTCCAAAGTGTGAAAAACCAGATCATGCACATTCTGTAGGATACATTGATTAAGATTTCACAGCTGAGCAGACAGTACATTCTGTTACTTGTCAATGGGTATACAAAAATGAGTAAGATGTGATCTTTTTTCCCAAAAATCTCATAGTATATTAAGCAAGAGTTGGTAATTATAACATAGGGTGATAAGTCCAATTTATAATGGGGCAATGACATCAACTTCCTGAAGCAAAAAGGTTTTACCCAAAAGGAGATCCTTAAAGTAAGTCTTAAATTTGCCAGGCCAAAGAGTTTGGTTCTGGGGAGGTCCTGAATTGAGAACGGTGCAGGCAAAGCTCTGAGAAGGAATGACTTTCAGTGTGATAAGGACATAGTGTTAGCTTCTTAAGAGTGTTGTAACAAGGTAACCAAGTACCAAGCCAACAAACTGGGTGGCTTAAAGCAACCAAATTTATTCCATTGCAGTTCTGGAGGCTAGAAGTCCAAAATCCAGGTGTCAAAAAGATCAGTTCCTTTAGAGTGCTCTGAAGGGATATCTGTCCTCTGTCTGTGTCCTAGGTCCTTGTGACAGCCAGC